TAATTGCTAAAAACAAATCCAAATAAAGAACCAAATCTCTGTGCAACAACCCAGCTCGAGCAGTTTCAAATTCAGGTCTAAGTTTCATTAAAAACTGATCACGATGACTTTCTTCATTAATAGCTTGAAGACTAGCTAAGTTCTCCTTTGACACCTTAACATAGATAATACCAGTATATTCGCTCCATAAATTTAGAAAGCCAGAATAATATTGTTCAATTGAAAGATTGCCCTGACTGTAATTACTCATGTTAAGGTCCAATTGGAAGCAATTGGAAACGTTTCGCAGAATTATCTTGATTGTAAACGCGTTTCAAGTATTCCCACATTTTTTTAGCTGTGTCAAAGGATCTTAAATTGTTCACCATATGAGCCTCAATAGATCCCGAAATCCAGCAAATAATTCGAGCATCCTTTGCTTCCCATTGACTAAGACTTTTTGCCTCAGTAGGAGCTGAAGAAAACCTATCAATATGACTTCAAAGCTCCTTCCCTTTTAAGAACATTATGAGCTAAAATTCTCATGTGACATAATTTATGTGACATAATTCTTTCCCGTAAATTTGATAGCTAAGATTTCAGAAGATATTCTAAACAGAATGATCGTTGATCGAAATCAACCAAAAATAAAAGAAAGCCAAGATATCTAAATAAAATCTAAATCGTTGATCTAAATCATCGTGAAAGGGCTAGGGCGGAAAAGTGTTGGGCACAGGGAGGAAGATTGTCGGTCGTATATTTGGATTTCGACAGGAGAGGGAGACGCGATTGATGGCAGCTTTAGCTTGAGACAGATCGCGGCTTCACGGTTTGCGGCTTGATGCGGAAAAAATGGATCGCGGCTTGAGACAGATCGAAGGATGATAGGCTTGAAGTAGTCGTGAGGGAGAAAACAGATCGGCAGGAGGGGGAGATGGATCGAAGGATGGTCAGCTTGAAACAGATCGGCGGGAGAGGGAGACGGATCGAAGGATGATCACAATTGATGAGAAGATCGTGACTGTCGCAGAACTCAAACAAGGCGAACGAATGAGGACAAAGATGTCACATAACTCAAATAAGGACAAGAATGTGACTGTCGCAGAACTCAAACAAGGCGAACGAATGCGGACAAAGACGTCGCATAACTCAAATAAGGACAAGAATGAGCGCTCCGGCTAGGAAGCAGTCGAAGATGTCGGCGAATGATAACAAAAGCTAGAATTTGAGCGCTCCGACGAGGAAGCAGTCGAAGATGTCGGCGAATGATAATAAAAGCTAGAATTCTAAGGATTCAGACCGATTAAAGCTCTGATATCATGTCAATATTTTTAGCAAATAGGTTGAACGTATTTTCTTTTGTTTTCATTCCATTAAATAATAGTCTGTGCAATCTATTTTAGGTATATAATATTATGTATAATCTATTTTAAGTAACTTAATTAATACATATTCCTAATCTAAATGTTCAGCTAAAAGGAAAGAATTCGTGCAAATATTTTTTCTTTGCAATCTTTCTTTGTAACATTGTGAAGAAGGAAACTCTTTATTCTGTCTGATTTCATTTATTCCTGATTGATATATTCTATCAAACCAAGAATATAAATTGTCTTCCATTTGGTGAACTGTCTGTCTTCTATAACTTTTGGGAAAAAATTCTCAAGTGAGATATGACTGAGACATCCTGTTAGAGATTATGAGCACATGAGGGTATTTGAGTGTCCAGCTGACTACCACGTGTAGAATGATAAATTAGACCCATGAGCAAAGAAGACGATATTCGTTGGCTTCAGGTTTAGAGTCAAGGGCTTGGAAATGAAGATCTTCATTAGCGAGGATGTTACATTTGACGAGGCAAGCTTGTTGAAGCCTTGTGACTCGAAGTAGGTTGAGAGTTCTAAATAGATCACAGAATTGCAACAGAAGTTTGACCAGTCCTACTCAGTTTCCTGATCCAGTTGCAGTTCAAGAAGTATCTATTGAAAGTGCTCAAGAAGAGTTGTAAGAAGATGTTGATGTTGGGATTCCTACTCAAAAATCTATTGTTAGGAGCATGATATTGTGCTAGAATATCCCAAAACCAGCTTGGTTGAGAGATTATATTTCATTTGCACTTTCGGTCATGTAGGCTAAAATCACTTGTCACTACAAGGAAACTATGGATAGCTCGGATGGTGATCTTTGGAGAGGGGTAATGAATAAGGAGATGAAGTCTCTTTGGAAAAAATGTTGCTTAGAGTTTGATGAAGTTTTCTCATGGAAGAAAATTCGTTTGGTGCAAATGGGTGTATGCAAAGAAAGAATGTTCTTATGGAGTTGATGTATTGTACATGGTAAGTTTAGTGGCAAAAGGTTTTGCGCATGGAGAATATATTAGTTATGATAATGTGTTTTCCCTGGTGGTCAAATATCCCTCGATTTAAGTTCTCTTAGTACTTGTAGCATAGTATGACCTGATTTGGAGCAGCTTGATATGAAGATTGTATTTCTATACGAAAAATTACAAAATGAGATCTATATGTTGCAGGCGTCTGAATATAGAGCCTTAAAAGGCTTGATTTGCATAATGAACAAGTCTTTATATGAGGAAGCAGTCATCATGGTAGTGGTATAAAAAGTTTGTTCAGTTCTTGATAAGATAAGATTAGATGAGGAGCTCATACGATCATTGTGCATATTTTAAAAAAATAGCTAATGCTGAGTTCATCTACTTATATATATTGATGACATGTTGATTGTATTCATAATTCAGACTGATGTTGATAGGATTAAAAATCAACATTCCAAATGTTTTGAGATGAAAGAGTCGGGTACGCTCGCAAAATTCTTGGTATGAAAGTTTTCAGGGACTAACCTCGGTAAAGGTTTGATTCTTGCAATGAACATATATTTTAAAGGTGCTGAAGAAGTTTGGGGTTGATAACTCGAGCAAGGCGGTGAGTCTACTTATTGCATATTTTTTTGAATTGAGTTTAGATTCGTGTCCTAAATATGATATTGAGAGGAAATATATGCGATCAATTTCTAATATTAGTGTAGTGGACATTCTAATGTATGTTGTGGTTTATATTATTTCAGAGATTGCAGATGCAATTGTGTTTAGCAGATTAATGCATGATCTGGGATGGAGTCATTGACAAACTGCGAATAATATTTTGAGGTATATGGAGGGTAGAGTTGATGTTGGCTTAATATTTGAGGGACTGTCATCTATTGTTGATTTGTGTGTAGGCTGCACTGACTCAGACTATGCATGTGATATGGATAAGGGGATGTCTATGATTGATTATTTATTTACATTGACAAGATGTCCAATCAATTGGAGATCGGTTTTTCAGTCTGTTGTTGCTTTGTTTATTATAGGAGATGGGTGCATGACAATCACAGAGATGATGAAGAAAGTGATATGAGAGTTAATCAGAAGTCTCTGATGATATTTTATGGCAGTTAGAGTGCAATATGATTGACCAAAAATCAAGTTTATCATACTCATACCAAACACATTGAAATGAGATACCATTTTGTTTAGAACTTAATTAATGACGATAAGATTTTGTTGAAGAAGATAGGTACAAAGAAAAATCCAACAGATATGCTCACAAAAGTAACATCAATTCAAAAGTTCATCTATTGTAAGAGTTTGGTGAACATCTTAGCTCAATATTGATTGTCCAATCAGGTGTTTTAAAGAATATGCGATGCTTGATTTCTTCAAGACGGGATACGTAGAAAACCATCTTCGTACATTCATTTTTCTATTGGAGTTTATTTGTTCATCTCTCACCTATCTGGGAGTAAATGATGATGTGAACATTGTTTTATTAGAGGTTTTAATTGTATTGGGGTGTTAATTTGTCATTTTTATTTCTTAATTATTGTGCCTTAATCTCTATTATTTAAAGGAGGGGTTAGGGCTCCTTTTGATGTGTGAGTTGTAACCCTACGTTTTCCTGATCATCTTTTCTTTCTTCCCACCTGTGATGGTGGAATCCCCATGAAAATAAGTGGAACTGTGTCGAACCACGTAAATCACACCGTATTTATTTGATTGTTTGTTCTATGATTTTGTTTTCGGCATTGTTTGCTCAATATCTATGACTATCAGTTTTTGTAATCTCATCTTAAATAATTCCATTATACAATAGACATATGTGCTTTCAATATCTATTGGATTATTTTGAATGGATTAGGCATCATGATTTTTTCACTTTCTAGGATTTTTCACGTAAAAAATCTAGTTGTCTCTTAGATTTTTATTTGTGTGTATGCTAGAAAATTATACTAAACTAAAGTTCAATATTACTTTGTTGTTGAGAATTTTTTAATTTGTAATATTTTAGATCCGTATGTGAGAAATAAAATTCGTCCTTTTCGATAGCTTCTAAGCATAACAGTCGCAACAATGAAACCTCCTACTCCAATACAACCCATCACTCTCGTACTCGACCTCATAATGATCAACCTACCCAACATCACCCATGGTGACTACAAAGTCGAGAGGACACTCACGTTTCTCATGAAGGTTGATAAGTCACTGGGGAGGGCTAGACGATGAGGTGAAATGGTGAGAGTCAGCCATCACTAGAGGGTGAGTTGGATTTCTAGATTTCACGATGCGCCGTTAATAGAGTGCTTTTCTTTTTTCGGTTTTAGATGCTATATATATATATATATATATATATATATATATAAGTTTTGATGATATATAGTAGAGAACTTTTAAGTGATAAGTGACGTGCCCCTTTTTTTAATTATAGTTATAATTATCTTAATCTTGAAACGGTACTCTTTGTTTGCAAGATTTTAAGACTATTGATAAAACTGATACATATTGTTTGTCAAATATAATATCTTTCACTTTGGTATTAAATACTTTATTTAAATAGGAGTTCTTTGACTCAAATATTAAAATCTTTGAAGAACAATAGGACATAAATTTTTTAACAGAGCGCATGCTGCTGTTTTATTATTTAAGTCTGAATTTATTTGAGAAGCTTAGCTGTACTTTTCAGCTTTTGTAGTCAGGGCCATTTGAACTTACGACGAGGTGGACGATGGTAATGAAGTTTGTGCTTCTGCCATGGAAGCCGGAGTTGGTTTTCACTGGCGTGTCCATCATGGGGGTAAATCCAAAGAATCGGAAGTTTTGCAGCCACGTGGTGAGGCTCATGTTCTTGCTTTGATTCACTCTGCTCTTTTTACATACTTGATGTGGCTACTGTTGTTCCTTAATTCTGTAGGATCTATGGGATTCAATTGTGAACAATGAGTACTTCTCTTTGGAAGGTCTAGCAAATGTTTTAGGGCAGGTACTTATTCAATTCAATTTTGTTGATCTTCGAGAAAATCCAGCATACATTGTTGTACTCATCTGACATTCTTATGTAAAGCTTGTAATCTTCCATAGTTGAGCTTTTATAAGACTCCGGACTTGGAAACACCAGATTACCAGATCCTGAAAAGAACTGCCAAGTATGAGGTGTTGGTCTTCATTCAAGCTTGTTTCAATTGAAATTTACTTAATTCATTGTAGCAATGAAAATTTAGTTTTTCCATTTATATTTCAGGATCTTATGTTATCATTATGCCACCATGTCATTCGTGTATTGTGAGGCAGAACGCATCTATGATCCTTCATTTTAAGTCTTTTTGTCTCGATATACTGAACTTATGGATGAGATTTCTGTGAATCTCAGTCTTCTTTTATGATAAAACTTATCTCATAGCTTCAATATGTTTATATGGACAAACTGTTATATTTGTCTTTTTTTTTTCTCTATTTCATTGGCTATGTTTTGTTTGAGTGGGTTTGTCTTGTATTTCTTGAAAACAACGTATATCACCCATTAATGTTACATTATTTTTATTTTAGTAATCTTAGAACTATACTAATAGTAGGATAAATGGTAATGGATTATTGTGGCTCTATAGGTTAGGAAATATGCATCCTTTCTTGTGGCTGAGACGAAAGGAGATAAGCTTTCAGGCTCATCTGGATTTAATGATGTTGCAGGGTGAGTAGTTCAGTTGCCATTTCTGGTCAATTTTATTTTACTTAAATTTACATCTTATTTTGATCTTCTTAGATACATATTTGGCAAAAATTCCACAATGGAAAAGATTCCAATGACCACCCCTGTCTTTACACAAGCTAAAGATGCTGCATTATCAGAAGTATCAATCCAGATAGTTCTCCCTAAGGATAAAGAAAATAGCAAGTAAGAGAATAAAAACATAGCAACATTAGGGTCTGCTTGGGATCACTTTGTTTTCTATTTTTTGTTTCTGTTTTTATTTTTATTAAAAATATGTTTGTTTGCATGTTCTTATTTTTTATCTTTGAATATAAATTAGCTTGTTTTTAAAAAGACTCAAAATATCTAAAAGTTATTTGAGTATTTTTAAAAACAGTTAAACATGTTATATCAAATCAAACATGTTTTATTCCAAATGAAAACATAAACAAAATAAAATAAAAATGAAAAATAAAATGTAAAAAACAGTAGTGATCCTAAATGGCCCCTTAACATTTATGTCTAGGATGAAATTTATGTGACATTTGAAATCTATATAGTTTCTAGTATAATAAATAAGCATGCCATCAAGTTTAGTAAACTTAAACATTTCTTGAGCAGCTTACCCGAACCTAGTTTAGAAACAATCAGCTTGAGAAAGGTAGAAGGAGGCTTTGCTGCTGCTGTAAAGTTCAGTGGAAGGCCAACTGAGGATGCAGTTAGACAAAAAGAGAAAGAACTACGGTCTGCTCTGATTGAAGCTGGTCTAAAGCCGATGAGGGGTTGTATGCTTGCTCGTTACAATGATCCTGGACGCACTTGGAGTTTCATAATGGTAAGCTCCTTGTTCCTTTTTAACTTCAAAATATTTTTATATAATTCAAGTAAGATAACAACTCTCATGTCCCTAGATTTTTTTAATCTCTTTTGTCCTATAGTTGGATTATTTTAAGCTTCGTTTGAATATGGATTTGATTTAGTTTCCTCTCTCAGGCAGTGCTAATTTCAAACTTTCTTACTTTCGTTGCTGTTTCTGCAGAGAAATGAGGTGTTAATATGGCTCGAGGAGTTCAGCTTAAGTTAGTATATTTTTCTATCCTTGTAAATCATTTGAATGCACAGTACTTTCAACGGCTATAGCAATTGAATATTGTTACGCCACCTATGACAGCTCAGGGATCAGATAGCAAAATCTTATGGGCAACTTCTTAGCTGATGGTTTTTCTATGTATTTTTATTAATTCTATATAATTTCATGTTGTGTCAGATGAGTGAACCAATTGAAAAAAGCTACATTACCTGTTTCTTCTTTCTTTCATTAAGAATATTGATATCAGGGTTGAAACCCAAAAATTTAGGCCTCGTTTTTTATCAACAGACTGTGTTTAAGGACAGCATAAACTCAATTTTTAGGCATTTGAAAGAAGTTAGCCAACCGCTACATGAAAAAATTTTGTTGCATAGAAACTAAAAATATGGGTTATGGAAACTGAAGATGAAAGTAGTCCTATTCTATTTTGATGTTAACACTAAAAATAATCTATTGTGTATTTTGTTTTTGTACATCAAAAATGTGCACACACTAATCTTGAGGGGATCTAACTATTCAAACGGGAAGAATATGACGGAGGAGAGCCCACTGACAGATGATCATGAGGTCTACTTGCCGACCAAGTTAAGTTGTCATAGCCAAGCTAACAAAGCCAAAATTGATCGAGCCATGAGGCTAACAAATGATGACTGGGTAAACCATGTCCGAGCTATTCAACCAAACACGAGATGAATAAACATTTGCGCCAACCACTACATGAAAGACTACCCAATGCAATAGTCGACCCTCCTGCAGAACCGATCCAAAGGTTTGGTTCCAAAGTATTTCCAACCATCTGCGAAGTTCCTCATCAAGGACTAAGGGTTGATAGTCATGCTGTATCAATCGGTTGACCCATACCAACAAAGCTTAGCAGACCAAGCTGACCTAGTTGATCCATGCGGACCAAGCTCAGCCGATCAAGTTGAGCTCGTCGACTCCTAATTTAAGCTTAGCTGGTCAAGCCAGAAAGTAGTTGGATGACAGACTTACGCATGTAAAATACTAGACCCCTTTAAAACAAAAACAAAAAAGTAATATCATCATTTTACGTCCTTTGCACTATAAATAGGAGAATTACTTTATGAATAAAAAATATATGATCACGTGAGATGTTCACTATCTTTCTGTCTCTTAATCTCTCATTATTTACACACTATTCTTTTGGCGTGATTCATAAATAAATCGGGATTCAACATTTTAAAAGACATGGTGAACGTGGATCATGCCATAAACAAGAAAAGTAGTCCAATGAGAAGAAACTTTTAATGGAGATAGGGACAACATGGATTACACTAGAGAATTCGTGATACAACAGATCTAAGAGTTAAATGATCAGATGTTGGATGCCATCTGAAACGGGCTACCCCTGGGAAGAGATCATTGACCCCGAGCGAATAGGTCGGCGCCCAATAATAAAAGAGTCCTCCCGGCCTTAAAATGAGAAGGCGACTCGCAGCACTTCGATAGTGTTGGGTTGACACTGATTGATTTGCATCAGATTAAGCGTACTGAAGTGTCCCACCAGCTTGAGGATGCGTTCTAGTGACAAATTTTTAAGCCAAGCCCCCAAACAATTCATGATCTCGATGTTGGAATCCTACCATATAGCCTCATTTGAGTCGATCATGTCCTTGTTAAGGATCATCGACGCTCTGAAATGTCGTCTTCTTCACCACATTGAGAGAGTCAATCCTCAGGTGGTTATTGTCGGGGGTAATCATGTCAATCACTAACTTTAAGTGGATATTTGTGGCATAATATTTCAGTGCTCATAAGCCATAGAAGAACATGCAACTTTTCTATAGCTCCGACAGTGACAGAGTTTGTGCTCGTTTATCATTTGCTTCTAGAAGAAAATGTTGAAAGTGCGGGATCTGGAGCCCATAGTTGCTCATGTTTCCTTAGCTCAAGTGTTGAATAAAGGACTTTTCTAAGATGTGCTAGGCTTGTAGCAGCCGAACATGTTAGCTGAGTTTTTGAAGTTGACCAACAACCACATATTGACCAAAGAGCATAACTCTAACCCTGCCTCTTCCTGAGCAGAATCCTCCACCTATCTGTCACAGAAAATGGCCTTCCAATCAAAAAGGTGGAGATCGGACATGATTCATGACCTTCCACCTGTCCTTGATACGAAGACACTCAGTCACCCTGAGATCATAGGGCGACCGACGAAACACGTCATCGTGGAAATCAAGCATGATACTCTGACCAACGATTGACTCGGTATAACAAGCATTTGCTACCTAATTATGAAGCACCCAAAACAATTTATTTGAGTTTCATTGCCTAAGTGGAGACCATACAAAATAAAGATTTAAAAGAGCGCCACCGACAAATGTCGTAGCTTATCTCTGAGACCCCAAGTATTGTTTTTACCATTGGGACCATAGGCACAACATGGAGTGCAGACACTTTTGAGGCCTTATTAAAGATTTGATCAAGACCAAAAAATTAAAAGAATTTGTAGCCCCAGGTGCAACAACCTAGCTACAAGTGAAAACTGTAGTTGAGGAGATATCAGACTAGCCAGCCTGAGTCCACGAGATCTGTATTGTTTTTGTAGTCCCAACCATCTTTGGGGGTGAAGGAGAATCATCCTGTCAAGCCAGTTTAAAGAGGTCTCGGTCGGGAGAATTATGCGAAGCCACCCGTTGTACCCAAACGTAGCACACATCCTCAATCCTCCAATTGTTTTCACCGATAAAGACTTACCCCTTAAGGGTAACCCCTACAACGATATTATCATCATCACTGCGCAGATTGACAACTATCAGATTGATAGCATCCTCATCGACACTAGAAGCTTTGTGAACATCTTGTTCAATTCATTGTTCGACAAAATAGGTCTTGGCAACGAACGACTAACAATTGCAGTTGGCCCGCTCTATGGCTTTTTGGCGAGAGGAAGCGCTAGGAGCCATCACTTTATCGCTGACCTAGGAAGAAAAAAACAAGTAGTTAGCACCAACATGGCGAACTTCATAGTGGACGACATATTGCCCATCTTCAACTCCTTCTTTGGACATCCTCTACTCAATTCCTCACGACCGATCACCTCAACCCACCATGTAAATGTGAGATGCTGTGGCAACGGAGAGGTAATCACTGTCTAGGGAAATCTTGAGCAGTCTCTTATGAAGCAAGAACACAGACGTGAAGACATGGACACGATATGATATGCTACACGTCATAACTGTAAAAAAAAGACATGCTACGACATGGGCATAATTTTTTTATATTTAATAAATTATTAATATAACTATATATTTTTAAATATTTTCTACTAAAGATATTACAAAAGAACAAATGCAACCATTAAGAAACTTTATAATAATAAAAATTATTTTTGACAATATCAAAATTTTATTCAAAATATAAAAAAAAATATCAAAACATTTAATATGAACGCCATCCATAATAAAATAAAGCAAAGATAGCAAAATGTCAAAATGTAATAACATAATTATTACTTGGAGTTGATGCATTCAACAGTGGTATCATCATTAGTACTAACTCAATTGTCTTCATAAATGACACATTCACCCCCATTAACGAAAAATATCATTTCTAAGCATGGTTCATTATGAGGAAGATTGGTTACTTCAAGAATTCCAATATCATTCGTTATAGCCAAGGCATCTCCTCAACATTCCATAATTTTGTATCCTATGAGAATGTTTTGGGCTCCTATATGGAAGACGGAGATTAATATGAACAAATATCAAATCTTCACCTGATCACGAAGTGATTTTGTTTATCTTAAGTTGAATTGGTAAAAGAATATGTACCCCAGTTTTTTTTTACAAGAAGATGAACACGGTTGAACTAACAATTTGAAAGCTAAATTTTTGCACTTGTGGGGAGCGAAAGCACCATAAATCATTCACCACACAATTTCCTCCATAAAGCTCTAGAATGTATGGAGTCATGATCAGCAAAAGCACCACTAAATCCAAAAAAAATTAGCAAACTCCAAATTAACGATTGATCTTTCTTCAATATTTGGGAAAATCCTCTTTAAGTAATTATTTTTCTTAATTGATATTTTCATATTCTGAAACTATGTCCACAATTATCAGTGATTATTTGAACCCCTTTATTTGATCTTTTTTCCACAATTTCTTCTTTAATTTCATTGACAATGTAAAACTTATATTTATGTGCTACAGAGGGGGTCAGACATGTGCGCATGAACAGAACACCGCAGCAAAATGGTATGTCTGAGCGCATGAGCAGAACAATCACTGAGTGTGCTAGGTTCATGAGGTTGCATGCAAGCTTCTCAAAATAGTTTTAGTTTGAAACTGCAAATACAACAGTTTATCTAATAAATCGTAGTCCATCAGTGCCTTTGGAGGAAGACTTACATGAAGAAGCCTGGAGTGACAAAAATGTATGTCTATCTCATTTAAGAGTATTTGAGTGCTCTACATATGTGCATATTGATGCAGGGTCTAGAAGCAAGTTTGACTCACAATCTGTCTTGTGCACCTTTATTAGATATGGTTCAGACAAGCATGGGTATAAGTCTTGGGATTGTCTGAATCAGAAATTTATCAGAAGCAGGGACGTCACATTCAACGAAATGGAGATATACAAAGAGGGTCAGAACTCGAGATATTTCGTTAGCTTCTTCTGAATAATCCAGATATGTGGAGATAGAAGATACCGGCGATCAGAAAGATGGTGAAAGAACAAGCGCTCAACCAGAAGGAGCACTGAAAGTTCCTCAGTCACCTGCTACAGAAGTCAGAAGATCCAACAGAGTGAAACAACCTATTCAAATGTATTTTTCTTCTTTACACTATTTGTTGCTAACTAATAGTGGTGAACTATAGTGTTTTTAGAAGGCCACTCAATTTGAAGATTCAAGTGAGTGGGAGCTCGCCATGGATGAAGAAATGCAATCATTGAAGTTAAATCAAACTTAGGATTTGACGGTACTACCAAATGACAAAAGTGCATTGAACAACAAGTGCCTCTACAGGCTGAAAGTGGAGTCAGATGGAAGCAAACATTACAAAGCAAGACTTGTTGTGATGGATTTCCAGCAGAAAGAATGAATGGATTAGACAGAGATTTTCTATCTAGTGGTGAATATGACGACTGTTAGGGTTATGCTAAGTCTGGTAGTAGAGGAAGATCTACTTCTGCAGCAGATGGATGTAAAAATAGCTTTTTTACATGGTGATTTGAAGGAAGAGTTTTACATGGTGCAACCACAAGGTTACAAGGTTCTTGGCAAAGAATGTTTTGTCTGCAA